TTATATCTTTTTAGTGGATTACTCCTTTTATCAATATTAAGTATCCTTCTTGATCCCCTGGGAATCTTCACTTGAATTCTGTTTTGTCTGGTGGTAATACTGCTTTAAATCATCGTGTTAGTACTTCGGCAGTTAATTTTTAGTATCTCTTTACTTTCAACAATTCTGCATTATTTTTTTCAGGCTTGATTCTGGTAAATAATAATAGCTGGATTTTCTTTTTTACCAACTTGATAGTCTCTGTCTTTTATAGGTCAGGTAAAACTGCTCACCTTTGTCATAAATATGAGTCGGTTTTGATTTATTCTTACCATATTCTTTTCTGTTTTTTTAATTTGCTAAAATTTTTTTAAACACTTTTTTAAAGATTTATTCACCCATTCTAGAGAGAGAGGGAGAGAGAGTGTGTACATATGTGTGCATGAGTCGGGGGCCAGGCAGAGGGAGAGGGAGAATCCTCAAGCAGACTCTGGGCTGAGCTACCAAGCCTGGTGCGGGGCTCCATCCCAAGACCCCGAGACCATGACCTGAGCTGAAACAGAGAGCTGGTCACCTAACTGACTGAGCCACCCAGGCACTCTGCTAAAAAAAAAAAATTAAGGCTTTCTTGTCTCTTTTGGTTAGATTTTGTTTTGCAACATTTCCCCTCTTCTGTTTTGATAGGTGTACGTTCATCTATTCTTTTTTGTTCGGCTTGTGCACATTTTTAGCTCATATAGAAACTTACATTTTCTTTTTCAAAAGTCTACAGTCAAATACAACTATGTTCTACCCTTCATTTCAACAGTACAAGAAATTTAACATGCATTTATTCCCTTTTACACTCTCCTTTTTCCCCCAACTAACTCTCATGTTGACATCTTATGGAGTTTTATTTCCAGATGGTTTAACACACGCACTGATTTCAATTCGGCAATGTTGTTTCAAATGATTTCTTTGTTGCTGTGTTTATTTCTCATTACTCTCTCCCAGATTTATTTTTCTTCTTGCTGAAATAATATAGTAATTCTCTCAAAGACTGTGGATGGTAAACTCTCTGAGGTCCTATATGTTTGAAAATATCTTTAATTCATGAAAGAAGCTGAATGGCTGAATTTTTTCCACTGCCTCTAGCAAGATGTGGTCTTCACCTCTTCCTCCTCACCACTCCTACTACATCCAAACTGACAAAGAGCTGCTAAAGCTTTAGCTCCACTCTTGCAGGCCCCATATCCTGTCCCCTGACTAATGCAGCTTAAGTTCCCCATATCTTCTGAGAATCGGAACAGTGACTAATTCTCAGAATATAGCAAAACTTTTACCTTCACCAATTTAACATAGCAATTCCTTAGGCTGTCTGCTCTCCAGTAAGATAGCTATCTTGAGTTGTTCTATTGTGATGATTTTAATAAAGGCTTAAGTTAACAGATTTGGTTGGTTTTTCTCCTTTCACAAATTCATTCTCATTGTTAAAGGATAGTTTGGCTAGATATGTTTTTCCTTAAATTTTTTAGATTTTGTTCCCTTACCTCATAGCACTCAGGGTTGCTGATGTGTTCTGAAACTGTCACTTCCCTATTCTAGGGTTGGCACCTTTTTCTGAAGCCTCCATGACCCTTTGGGGCGATGGCTTACCACTGTGGCTCTCTGTGTGCTTTCTTTCTTAAGGATCTGGATAACTTTTGGTCCACTGAAAGTCCTTACTCTGTTTTTCACAAATCCCAATGTCCTTATTAATTTCTTTTAAAATATAACTTAACAAATCATAATGACTTGGTGTTAAAACAAGGAGATTTCAAAAAAACAAAAACAAAAACAAAAAACTAAACCAAACCAAAACAAAAAAAGATTGCAGCATGCGCTCAAATTAAAATGTTATTTTTGTTTGTGTGTTTGGATGGGTCCATACGAAACTATATTCCAGGGGAATAGAATGGGGTGTCCAGAGGAAGACTGATTTTTACTTTATAATTTTCTCTATTGGAATTTCAGCATATTAGTCTTGTTTTGGGATTCAAAATAATGGCATACATAATCCACTGGACATCTTCCTTTTCTTTTTTTTTTTTTAAGATTTTTATTTATTTGAGAGAGAGCAGAACAAGAGAGAGAGCAAGAGTAGAGGAGGGGGGGCAAAGGGAGAGGGAGAAGCAGGCTCCTTGCTGAGCAGGGAGCCCGACACAGGCTCCATCCCAGGACCCTGAGATCATGACCTGAGCTGAAGACAGACACTTAACCAACTGAGCCACCCAGGCACCCCAGACATCTTTTCTACTTCCAAATGCACCCATCAGCTTTTTCCACCTGCTCTCGTGCCCTGTCTATGCTGCTCAATGGTGTGGACAGCATCAAGGGCCCCAAGCCCTCTGTTTCCGGTTGGGTTTGTCCAGCAGGAGGTGAGTGAGATTGGGATATTTATTCCCTGGCCTTTCCTAGCCCCCCCCCCCCCCCCCGCCCCACACTCCCCGGATATCTGACTACCCTGTGTTGATTCTGTCCTCCTACTGAAGACAACACCTGCCAGGCAGCCCTTTGCACACAGATGCTCACGTCCTCATCTTGGTCCTTCAGGCCTGGGGCAGCAGTGGCTCCCAGGTGCCAGGCTGGAGACCCACATCCCATTGCTGGCTTCTCTACAACTTGCCTACATCTTTGTAATTAGTCCCTTTATTCACTTCTCCTCAAATTACTCAGCTGGAGTGTCATTTGTTTCTGCCCTTGTCCCAGACCCAAACAAAGCCAAAAGAGAAAACAGAGAAAAAGCCAAAGCAATAAAAAGTAGTTCGGTAACTATTTAGATTCATCTTTTTACTGTTTCAGAACAGAATAAAATACTTAAGAAAGAATAAAGGTGAAGAAACCTTATTTTTGTTAAAGGAACCATGCTACAGAGGAGGAGTAATAGTAACGATTTCATGAGCACACATGTAGCACAGGAGTTCCTCTCCCTTTCCTTATTGATGCTCTTGCTGGGTTTCCGGGCCTGGAGGGCAAGCAGGCATGAATGAAGTCCCCCTGATACAGGACTTTATGCAGCACTGTGGGCTCATGATTCAGAGATTTATAGAATCTCAGAGACAGTAGGGGCCACAGGGACTGTCTAGTGAGCAATGCACAGCACAGAGCATAGCAGTTTGTGATACAACCCTAGATTTAATTTGTGTAGCGGCTATATAAAAACCACCCCATACTGCTGCTTCTTCAGTGCACCTATTAAAAAATATTTCAATTGCTAAAAAACAGTGCTAATTTTCTCACTGGCATTTGGGAGAGTAGCCAGCAATGGCAACAGGTAACATTCACTGAGTATTTGCTGTGTGCCAGAGACTGAGCTCCAAGCTTTACAGGTATCCTGTTCCACAACCCTCAGCTAAGCTCTGTAGTGGGATACTGTCCACTATGCATGGTAGTGCATAGTATTAATCCAATTTTAGGGATGAGGATAATAGGGCAGAAAGAAGTTAACGGACTTGCCCTTCATCACATGGCCTCAAGTGATGGAGCCAGGATTCAAACCCATGCAGCTGGACTCTGAACCCCATACTCATCCGTTACATCATTTCTTCTTGTTATGACATCTATGCAGAAATATATATGTATATATACTGCAGGAATATTGCTTTGTGCCTAACAATATACCATATATGTTGTTCTATGTCACTAAACACGTAATGCCATTTTAAATGATGGCAAAATATTCAATTGTATCAGTATGCCAGTTTGCTTAACCAATCTCATTGTTAGATATTAATTTGTTCTGCTATTTCCCCTTATAATCACTTTCTAATACTGACTCCTCTCACATTAGAACCTCTGACCCTGATTTATTAATTTATATAATTTATAAATTGCAATTATTATTCTTAGAGTATTAAACATTACTATTAGGGAGTGAGGCTCTAGATGACTCTGACCTCCATTTTGCTTATTATTTATAATTTGAAATATTTCAATATATTGTGTAATAAGGAAATGAGATTGTTAGAGTTTTTTTCTTTAATTTATTTAAGTAATCTCTACACCCAGCGTGGGGCCCAACCTCACAACCCCAACACCAAGAGTCGTTTACTCTTCCAACTGAGCCAGCCAGGCAGCCTTGTTAGAATTTTTTTAAAAAGAAAATTTTTATTTAAAAATATGAAGGTTAGAATATGCTTTAGCTCTTCTGTCCCACAATGGGTTAAACCATTGATCAACAATATTGATCAAACTATTGATCAACAATAGTCACCAATCCAGGCTAAGGTCATGGAGTTTCAGTCTGTCTTCAAGTGGTCTTTATACCACTTGTCAATCTTCCACACCCACTATGTAATCCAAAAACAGTTCCAAGGACACTCATCAACCCTTCCCCTTAAACAAATACATGAGAGCCTCCCCTTGATTGTTCTGTATTTACTCCTGATGCACATGCTTCAGCTGGAGAGTGTAATGGGTGTTAGCAATTCACAGGCCTCCTTAGAAATGCTAGAAAAGTGCTCATCTTCATTATGGCAGTGATGCCCTATTATCAATCAACCCCCATCTTTCTGCATCATCTTTTGCAATTTGGTGTCTTAATTCTAGTGTGAATCACACACTGGTGCATTTATACCTGGGCTCTAAGCAGGGCTTAAATGATAGTGTGCTGATGTTTTATCCAACAAGGAAATAACCAGTGGAATGCATCTCTAAGACAGATTATTATCCTATTTGTAAAAGGAAATCATGGGCATGCATCAACAGAACTTATCCTCTACTCTTTGGATTCCAAAATGTAATCGTTTTCCTCATGAATGATCTCGTGCCAAATGACTGACCTCCGCCCCCCGTGCGTGTGTGTTGTGTATGTGTGTGTGTGTGTGTGAGAGAGAGAGAGAGAGAGAGAGACTGAGATTACACTGTAGTCATTTACCTTAAGAAAAAAATTTAGTAGCTTTATATTTCACTATTGAGCAGCCAAAACAGCTTTGAATGTATTTCATCTATTAAAAGAACGTGTGCTGGTGTGACATAAATATTAATGAAAGAATAAAACCCAATTCTCAAGATATTTTTTCTTTTATTTAAAATGTTAACTATCACAACACATTATACAATGAAATGAAGACCATAGAATCACGTGAAAATTTGTAAAACATCTCTATTTAAGTCACAACACATGACACATGCTGCAGGGATACACTTTGATACCAAATCTTAGCACATTTCCACCATGAAAACAGAGGAAGCACAAGCCTGTCCATGAGATCCCTCTCCTTCAGCAGTGGCTGACATGACTGCTTCCAGGAAACCAAGATGACTTCTTTCTTTGAAGAATATATTTCAGTTTCACTGAACACTGTGCTTTGTTGAGAAATGCCCACTTATTTCTACATCTGAGGGGGTCATATTGGAATTATAACACACTTTCACAGCACGTATTGGCACAATATGAAAAAGAGTTTTTTTTTGAGTTTTCCACTCAAAACAATGATTATTAAATAAATAATTATTCCTCATGGTGCAGGTCTCATGTTACCTTTCATTGGCCACTGACACACATGAAGCTCAATAAATTATGCATGAGGTGGTTTATTTGCGTCTTCGTTCATAATTCTGCATCGCGCTCCTTTCATAAGCCACTGAGAACAAAGAAAAGGTAGAGGGTTTTTTAAGAGGATTCACTTAGAGAGTTAAATAAACTTCAAGACACACTGTAATTTATTCAAAACTCATTAATGACTTTTCCCCTCTCCATTGAAGTATTTCTAAGAGCTTTCTTTGCACATCCTCCAATCTTGCCTCTGTCTCTGTCCTGATTGGAAGTGATCTAACCACAGAATCCTTGGTTACTCAGGCCATCTGCCATTTACTTGGTGCCCCCAAAGCGTAGTTCCACAATCTACTGCAGTGGTCATTCTCCACAACTTTCTCAAGCACGGTGATTTATAAAAAGGATAATGCCTGAAGTATAGAGTAGGAATAGTAGTAGGATGAAAGCGAAATGTGAGACTTTTATTCTAGGACGGAGTCAACAGACTACAGACCATGGGCCAAATCCAGCCCACCACTTTTTCTTGAAAAGAATGTTTTATTGGAATGTGGCCATACCCACTCATTTGTGTATTTGTCTATGGCTACGTTAGCATTAACATGACAGATTGGAGTGGTTGCTACCGAGATGGCACAGCTCACAAAATCCAAAATATTTGTTATCTGGCTCTTTACAGAAAGAGTTGGCTGGTTCCTGTTACGGGAGTACACCGAATGGTGTAGGGGTCTCCTCCTGTCTTGGGGATACCTCGCAATGATGAATTGTCCTTGAAACTAAAAACAACATGGTCGTCAGTAGGTAGGGCAATTGTGCCATCCACGTACAACAGTTTAACTTACCTCCCAGCACCCTAATGGCCTGTGAAAGATTAATCACTGCCTCCAAAAGTACTTAACTTAGAGTTAGCAAGTAATTTAAGTACTTTGGCTATCTGGACTAAAAAAAAAAGCTGAAATTATATGATATGATTGATATGATATGATACGATGATATGATATGCAATTTCAAAGAGGTCTGTAACCACAAAAGGGTAAGGATCAGACTGTTGCGATTAGAATACAAAATATATTATTCATCATTTTAGTTAATTTATATACTTAGATTTACATTTTAGTGAAACTATGCTGCTTTTTAAAATTCATATGTCCTGTATAAAATACTGAATTTAAACAAAAACAATAGAAAGAACTGTGGAAGATAAGTAGGAATTATAGATGCCACTCTAAACAATTTTTTCAGTGAGAAAGATCTGTTGAGAGAGGAGGTAGGTGAGGGCTGTAGGGTGATCACTCTCCCATTTGCCAACTGAGCAGACGCCCGGTTAGCATCCAACACTAGGTTCGTGATAAGCTGAATGCTTTATGTCAATCAGGTTATGTGCTTCCGGGTGGACCAGTGCGAACTCCAAGCTGGGCAGTTCTCAAGGAAGGAAACAGTCCATTTCTCATCCTGCTTTGTTTGTATTAGGAGGAGGACTGACTAGCACAAGTTCAGTTTCTGACAAGCTTTAGGTAACATGATTCTGTTCCTCAGAGAAGTAAGGTGAGTGCTAATGTAAAGTAACCAAAGACGGATTCGTGTTAGCTGGAACAGAATATCCTCTTCACGGGAAGTGAAGTTTTGTATCTGGTTCTTGAACCCTCTGAAATTGTATGTAAATTTTTGTGTTTATAAGCTAATGAGGGTTTCTCCACAAAACAGGTTTCTAGATTTCTCAGACTGTCAAAGGAGTCTGTGACCACAAAAGGTTAAGAATCAGATGGCTGTAGGACACAGCCTATAGATAAATTCAGCTACAAATAAATTCTTGGATTTATTTATTACAATTAGATTTTTTTTCACCATAAGTACTCATTTTAAATTTATCATTCCTTCTTAGTACTTTGAAAACTATGCCTTAGCAAGAAAATAATAGATTTAAGATACTGTCTATTTTCAGTCATGGTTTTATACATACCAGAATTTAATACATACCAGGACACAATCATAACCTTGCCTCAATTGATCATATGAAAAGATCTCTGATTGAATGTACATTACATTTTTTGCCCGTTTTTTCCTTTTATATTTTCTTAAAATGGAGGAGTGAAGATTTAGTCATAAATCGATCCTGATTCATTATAGTGATTCTACTGATCTTGATTCAGTATAGTGATTCAATTTACCTATAATTACATTATTACTTTGCACACATTTAATAACATATAATCTGTAGAAATTACAGTATCTATATTATTTGTAAAGTTAGCCATGTTCTGAAACCTGTGTCAGTTCTGGCAATAAAAAGTTGATGACTAATATAATTATCAAGAAGACCACAGTTATAGAAGGGGATAGTGCACACTTTTGCTACAAGTAAAGCCAGTGTGGTTTAAATTTACATTCCATTTCCAAAAGCTGGAGGATAATATATATTAATAAAATAATTTAAAGTTTTTCATGAAGCACACTGGTAGCTTCTTTAAAATTTAAACTTGAAAAAAAAATAAAATTTATACTTGAGCAGCCCCTGAATTACTGAAAAAGAAATACAAACGTAGTGTTTAAATTTGGAAGGTAGAGAACCAATGGTAGGATATATCATGTTTTGCATGAATTTTCCAGATAATTATGCCAGCACTGCTTAGTTGCGGATTTTCTAGAAACTTGAAATATCCTAAACGGATAAGGCAGCTGGTTACTTTCTAATTAATTGATTAATACTATAATTCTATTTTCACTAAAGGTAAAATAAAAGGAGTTTGAATAGCTTTCCTAAGGAACCTAAGCTAATTACTATAAAAGCCTGAATGTGCTTTACAAAAAACTCAGGCTCTGTGAAAATGACATAGGGGTTATTTAACCTTGAAAAAGGTACGATGAATGGGTTTTTGGATATAGGTATGTGGCATTTTTACACAGACGATGGGAACTATAGAGAGGAAAGGAAATAGGCAGGCTTTATGTCAAGGGAAAGACTTGTTGGGGATTAAGATGCATAGGAGGATTGTGGCACCCCTTCCCTGTGAGGGTTTACAGCCAGAACTGATTATAATCCCCCAGGATAACTTGATTGTGCTCCTTTTCAAAAGCACTGGAATGAACTGCATTATTCCCATACTCTCAAACATCCATCAGGATATTTCGAGTTTGAGCTTTTATAACTTCATAAAGTATAAATGGATTTGTTTGTTTTCTTTATTTGTTTACTTTTGTGCTGGAAGCCTGCCAGATGTAATGTCATATAAGCCTTTTGAATGACCTCGGTAGTAAGTGAAAATTGGTCTTATTTCCCACATAACCTTTCACCACTTAGTTCAGTCAAGTTCAGTGTGGCTTATGTAACAAATATAAGGGAACAAGTACTAGACTAGCCCAAGGATTCAGGTTAGGTAATGATTAAATGGGGCAGACACTGGTAAGGCTGGTAGTTTGAGAAAGAAAGATGCATCCTAGGTGAGATTAGCTTAATCAGCTACAAATAAATTCTTGGATTTATTTATTGCAATTAGATTTTTTTTCACCATAAGTACTCATTTTAAATTTATCATTCCTTTTTAGTACTTTGAAAACTATGCCTTAGAAAGAAAATAATAGATTTAAGACACTGTCTATTGTCAGTCATGGTTTTATACATACCAGAATTTAAAGCTCTTTTGCCCATTAGTCCAACAAAGGAATCTGTTTTATGCCCTGGAAAAATACATTTAGGGGTATTTTAATATGTATGTCTTTGAGGAAATAAACTGTTATAACTAGTACCGAAGAAAAGCAAGCTTTAGAATATATGCCTATATAATAAATATATAACCATTTCAAGTTTTGGTGAGCCTGAAGAAATGAAGATTTCTAATAAGTCTTACAAATGACATTAAAACAATACAATGAAAGCACTTTTCTTAATTCTATATCTAAATATTAGCAAGTATACTTTATGTATATTACATTTTACCTGTTTATATACAATGTTCTAAATATTGCTGCTATTTAAGCTAGTTTTGGTTTTTAGGGAGTCAATTTCACAGTCGTGTGACAGAAATATCCAAGTATATGTCCTCGTGTTACTATGTTGTATTTCTCAGGAACTGAACCTTAGTTAAATCAGATCCCTGCACCTGATGATTATAAACTTCTAAAAGGTCACTATTTTTATTTTATTGGATTTTTAAAAATACTTTTGGAAAAGTGTGTTAATTTTGACATTAATAGAGTGCATTTGCTTTCATTACACAGAATTTTGCTATATAGAATTCTCTTGAAAGTCAAATCTTTAGAACTTAAATATGAATAAGATTTATTTATTTTCAAAGATGAAGCCTTATGAAAAAGGTGACTATTTCAACTCTAGTGGGGAAAGGTCTCTTGCTTTATACTGTATTATTTGAGAATAAGACTGCTGTTTTAATGTGACCTTCTCTGCCAACCAGTGAACCAAAATCCAAGTGGAGTTGTGGGTGGATCCTGGGGTAAATGCGTCTGACTGAGATGGACCCATGGGACTTCCCATCAATTCGAGTTCCATTAACTGGGAAACTGGGATTGAATGAATGTCAAGTGTCATAACTCTGCCATCTCTACTGGCCCTAAGAAATGTTTCATTGTACTTTGAGAGATTGAGGGTCCCCATTCAATTATGGGATCAAAAAACTGCATTTCTGTCTTTACCTTTACTATGGATTCTCTGCTCTTTCACTCAATCTCCTTAATTGGCTGCTGGATTACCCTAATACATGGTATCATCAAGAGATCCAGCATATTGAAATGTTAAGAGATGCCTATAAAAGCTTTGTTTTGTTTTGTTTTTGTTTTTTCAGTGGAAGTGGTGGGGCATAGGAGAGGGTGAGGGGTGACTAGGGAGAGGAATCTGTGGTGGATTTTTAACCCCAGGACTGAAATTCTTATCCATAACTAACAATGTATAGGAGTTAAAGGATTTCTTCTGGCACTCTCTCTTTTCTTTTTCTTTTCTTTCTCTCTCTCTTTTTTTTAGCAGCTTAAAGCAACAACAAATATTTATTATCTCACAGTTTCCGTGGGTCAGGAATTCACCAACAATTTAGCTAGGAGTTAAAGGATTTTTAACATAATGCATCATTTTGGTAAGCATCTAGGCATTTTAAAACAGAGCTTTAAAAAATCATGCTCTGGATGTAATTAATATGAGTCTTCTCCATTCTTATACTGTCTTAATTAAAAGTATTAGGTCCTAAGTTATAACAGAAAATAAGATATAAAATGAAGATTGATCTAATTTATGTTTGCATTTGGTAAATGTCAAAATAATTTGAAACTTACTTTTATGAGAGATCTGGCCATGTCCTAGAAGAAAGAAAGAGAAAGTTAGCAAAGGCAATAGATTTAATTTAAAGATGCTACATTATATTTTCAGAAGAGTATTATAAAATAAGTTGATTTTTAAAACATATAACATTTCCCATTCATGTACCATCATGAGGAATATAGTATAACCATAAATGCTAACCAAATTATTAATGATCAAAACAAAATAGCAACCAAAGGAATACTCTTAAGTGCTTTCTATGGGCCACAGATTCAAACCCAGGACTATGAGACCCCTGAGGCCTAACAATAACTGTTAGGCCACACCCCCTGTTTTCTTATGAGAAACACATCTCCAAGCTAGACCACCATTTGACACTCAGGAGAGAGGGATACAAATCTCTACTTTTACTAAACAGGCATTATCAAGAATCTGTATTTGAGCCCATAAAAAAACTTTCTTCCCTTTTCCTACATGTGCATTCACAATAGTAAAATAAAGATTTATAGAAATGTTTACCATAAAGAGCCTTTAACAGGGCCACTTGTTTTTCAATTGAGGAATCTGACAAAAGATGAATTGGCATTAACTGTTTACACGTTCCGCTGATGGTGTGATAAATGCAAGGAAATTGAGTATTTCTATGATGAGACATTAGGGAGCTTAACCTAACCCCAAGAGTCTAAAATCGGTTTCCACAGGCACTTAGACCATTCTGAGTACTACCCCCTGGAGGCCCCACGCCTTCCCCCTTTATCAGTGTGGATCTTCAGTCAAGGGAGCACTCAGCTAATAAGGTTGCTTCCTGTTCTTGATTGGGGTAACTCTAATTGTGTGGGGCACGCGCAACGGATCTCGCCCTCCCTCCGAGGGCATGTGCGTGTGTTAGTGGGGTGAGGGCCAGAGTCGCTCCCCGGGGATATATCCATTTTAGGATGGAAATTTCTACTCAAAGAGCAAGAGAGACTGGGTGATCTGAGAAGCAGTGAGCGAGGAGACAGGGCAGGTTGCTCAGAGAGACAGAGAGAGGGATGGCTGCCCATCTCACCAGCATCCCGTTTGCCCATTAAGCCGAAGAACTGCTGAGGCTTGGGTCTCCGGGCGATTCTCTGCAGAAGATGTTCAAAGGGCTCGGGCAGCTCCTCCTGGGGGACAGACGCACAGACAAACGGGCGTGTAGGCAACCAGCGCGCGGCGCCGGGAAACCCGAGTCATTCCAATGGTGCGCGCCAGCCCTGGGCGAAGCTCGGAGGCGGGCGGTGGCTGCGCCGGGCCCGGAAAACCCTCCCAGCTGGAAGGCGAGAGAAGGCTGGGTTTCCCCACGCGAGGGCTGAGTGGGGTCCCAGCCTGGGAGCTCTCTTCCTCCACCCCTCCCGGCAGAACTCGTGTCCCCGAGCCCCGCTGTCGCGGGCTAGCCGGAGGCGCGGCGTCCCCCAGCCCCGCGCGTTATCCGCTCTTTGCAGAGCCTGGGGACCCTCGACCCCCGGCCCCACTCCTCTGCCGCGCCGCCACCTGACTTTCTCTTGATTTTGGCGCGGGCTTTGGAGACGCCTGGCCGCGCTAAATGCGCACACGTGTGTGTCGCGAGTGGGGAAGGAATGACAACGCTTCACGAAAGACCTGCACCGCGCCACTTTTACTGTTCCCTCGAGGCGCGCTCCCTTGCACCAATAGCCTGCGAGCCTTGTAAAGGAAAACTTGCGGCTGGGTCCTCGGGTCGGTAAAATAAAAGTCAGGGTAGGAAGTTAGCTTCTCACCCACCTCGTCCCTCGAAGCCCCCAGCACCTTCTCCTTTGTGCCCGCTTCTACCAGCGTCCGGCGCGCCCCCTTCTGCCCCTGCCCAGCGTTTCCAAATGCCTGGTCCTTGCAGCTAGACTGGAGTCCCCGAAATCTCCGTTACCCCGGGATGAAACCTTGTGAGGTTTCCAGCCTTCTGAGGACCCCGGGCTCATCAAGGGAGGGCATCATTCCTCCAGGGAGTTCCTGAGACCCGACGGTGCAGCCCCCGGGGGGAAACTTGGATCGTGGGCACAAAATCTCGGGCGGGGACCCAGGGAATGGCGTTCCTTTACATCCCCACCCCCTCCCTGCGCGCCTCCACCGCCTCTGGTCGCGGTCGCGGCGTCTGCCCGGCTAACTAGAACGCTATCTTAAGGAAAGTGACAGCTCCCGAGGCCAGGAAGGACGGCTCCGCTGGGTCTCACCTTGATCTGGTCGCTGTCGGACCAGTCGGACCAATAATTCAGATCATCGTTGGCTCCGAATTCTTCTGCAAACAGTTGAGTGGAGACGAGAAAAAAGACGGCCAAGGCCACGAGGATTTTCATGTTGGATTTCTGGGAAGAACGGGGAAGAAGAGACCGAGGAGAGAAACATTGGGGATGGCTATCCAAGAGTTGGGACGGCATAATTTTTGGTCCCACAACGCAAGTCGGGGCCGATTGAACCCAGATAAAAACCCTAGGGGATAACAAGCCTAAAGCACACCTTGTACCCTCTAGGAAAGAGAACCATGCCCCCAACCTTCTCACATCCCATTCTCCCTGGATTCCAACTCCCTCAGCCCCCGACCCACCAATCCACACCTTCAAGCCGGGAGGCTCTGTCGGTGGAAAACAAAGAGGGACGTTGGCACTTGGGATCCTCGTTCCTCGATGTCCCTCCGCTGTCCGCCCACTGTCCCCCGCCCCAGCGGCCAGCCGCCACCTCGGAGCGATGCGCGGGGCGGGCACTTACCGCGGCGGGCAGGGCGGCAGGGTTCGTCTGGCTGCTCGGAGCGCACGCGGGGCGCTCGGCACTCTAGGTGGCCGCGGCGGTGGAGGAAGCAGATGCGGCGCGCTCTTTTGCCCGCTCGGTGCCGCGCGGTATTTATCCAAGGCTCGACGCGCCTGGAGGACCACGTGACACGCTCCCCACGCGACTTTCTGCTCAATATTTAATTAACCGCCTCTTCTCCTTTCGCTTGCGTCTGATTGAGAGTTTCCGAGACGGTAACCCGTCGGTGCCCAAAACATCTGGACCCAATTGGGTTCGAAATGACGCAATTTTAGGAAAATCAAGATCTCGCCATCCAATCCCGAGCGTCCAGTCTTCTTCCGTCTGCAGATCTGACGCCCCCTCCCCTCTCCTTCTTCGGAACGCGATTCCATGACACCTGAAATTACTCATCAAAATTGAGCAAAGTGACTCATTCCTCGGACTTCCGCAACTTTTTCGTCCCTTGAGACGTCAGGATAAGTTGCACTCTTAAGGATGGCCAAATAACTTAAGGTATTAAGATACTGTCGTCGGAAATCATGCTAAGAAGAGCATTTCAATTGGGGGGGGGAAGGCTTTTTATTCCCCTTCTATTTCATCGGCAGAGTGTCTTAAGTGTTTCTGAGATATAGTATCTTCTATGAGCAGAGCATCCTTCTCCCAAATCAGCTACAATACTGGCGTTTCTCCAGCGTTACAAAAGGATTTTCAGTCCCATAGCATTTCAGACGATGGAAGCAGATTTATTTTGCATTTTGGAGGAAGGAGAATTTAAACGTGGCAATACACGTAGCACTTTTGTATCAGTGCCATTCTAGGATGTCTTTTGTTGCAAGCTAGCAAAGTCCTCTTCCTTCGCACACCCAGGAGCAGGGGCTGGAAGAGGACGTGTTCGCTTCTCTCCTACCCTTTCTCGCGGAAGACTAAGAAACCGGCAAGACAGTGTACAGGATCCTTCCTGGGTGTCATAAAGGACTCTACAGATCATTCATAGATTTCTCCTGTAAATGAAAATAAGTGTAGTGAAGATGCTAATTGGATGGTCATTGACAATATGTAACTATTAGACAAATAGCATCTGTACAGAAATCAGAGCTTTCCATGAGCCCATGGTTTCACCTTGCAGACACATTTCTTTCATCTCTAAATGAATTAGATGACGTATCTTGAGTGCAGTTGTTTTCTTCTCTTTACTAAGTAAGTACTATATTTTTCAATTAATTCTGATATTTTTAGTATACTGCATAAAGGAAATAACTTTTTTATGCAATTCAGTTAAACCAGTAATTTTTTCCTCTAATATCTGCTGTTTCTTAAATAATCCTGAATTTTGAAATTCCTATGTCTCTATCTCATTTCTTCAGGCCCAGCCTTACAAGGTGAGGCATTCCATTTTTGTTTTTATAACTTTTTATGTGGGAAATTATATACAAAAGTAGAGAGAATCATTCACTCGAAACAATTTGCAAGTTTTACCTACAAACCCTTCCTATTTCCCCTCCACTCAGATTATTTTGAAGCAAAGCCCAGATATCATTTTAACTGTCAATATTTCAAACGTCTATATAAATGGTAAGGATTTGAAAAAAATAAAAACAGAACCATGCCATTATTCCACCTAAAAACAACATAAAATAAGTCCTTACAACATTAACTATCTGGTTACTGTTCAGATATTCCTCATTGTTTCATAAACCCCTCCACCACAGAGTTTAATAGTTGAAATCAGAATTGTAATAAAGTCCATACACTTCACTGGTTCATTGATTTCTTTTTTTTTTTTAAGATTTTATTTATTTTTTTGAGGTGGGGGAAGAGAGAATGAGGGAGTGAGCAAGCTGGAGAGGGAGAGAGAATCTGAAGCAGATTCCACGCTGAGTGCAGAGCCCCACCTGGGGCGTGATCTCAGAAGCTGAGATCATGACCTGAGCCGAAACCAAGAGTCGGATGCTTAACAATGGAGCCACCCAGGTTCATATATTTCTTAGATGTCCCCTAATCTATAGTTCTCCCCTCTCTTTCTTCCCTGCCCCCTTGCAGTTTATGGATAAAACTGGTCAGTGGAATGTACTACATTCTGGAGTTTGATGATTGCCTCCTGAAGGTTTCTTTTACCTTTTTCCTCTGTCCTGTTCCTGTTAATTGGTAGTTGAAGCTTGATCCCATGTAGGTTTGGTTTTTCTGACAAGACCGTATGTTATGAAGTGCATGATATCTGGTTGTCTATCCCTTTGAGATGTTAGCAGATACTGAGATCATTTTCTAGATCCAGTAATTCATTCATAAGTACTTTCAAAATAGTGTTATTCTGATTTTATCATTTATTCTTTATTTATTAGCTAGATCTATCTTCCATATAAAGAGAAACTTTTTTCTCAACAGCTGTTTAGTTACTCCAAGACAGAGTCAGTATAGGAAAGATAGGATAAACGCTTGATTACTTCCCTTTACCAATTTTTAAAATAATGATTTATAAGTTAGCACATTGAAATATGGCCTCCTCTCCCCAAATTTAGGATTATTATGACCTCATGGATTGAAATACACTTGAAGTATTTTACTCCTTCAGAGAAGGATAGAAGGAAGACTTTTAACTAATGCTCAGTTTGTTCAGGTGACACTTCAAATTGGTTCCTGAGACTTTTGATATGCCTTAAATGCACTTTAATGACCTCCTTGTTTTTTGGTCTGATAAGATATTTCAGGTTTAAGTTGTATATTTCCTGTCTCAGACCTGCGATTTGCATTTAAGGATTAGAAATGATAATTAGAGATTATAATCTGGGCATTATGGGTGCGTATTGCCACTGAGTTCTTCTTTGTTTCAAGACCTTTTCAATGAGTACAATTGAAAATGTGTATGAGTGTGTAGGTGTGTGTAAAACTGTGAATGAATGAATGTATACTGACACTTTCTATTCATATCAGGACATAGTATGGTCTTCACCTTGCACCTTTCCTTCTATTTTGCACCTTTTCTTCCATGCCAAAAAATCCCAGTTCCTGGTGACATCAACATGATTACTCATTTGCTTTATCTCAATATACAATGCCAACATAATTAACAATACGGTTATTAGAAACAGATTAAGAGATTTTATTTGCATTTTTTTTTGTCTTTAGGACATACCACGTTAGGTCTGATGAGTCAACTTACTGTGTTTTAAAGTCACTTAAAATTTTTTTCTCTTTATGGTTATGCTACCAACTTTTATACACATGGTTCATTTACTCATTTTGCTCTTGAGTTTTAGGGATTGATTTCTATATTTAATTTAACTTTAACATTATGCAAAATACAGAGTTCCAAATGTAAAACATTCAAAACATAATGTATTCCAAGGAATGTAGCTTCACTCCCTGTCCCTCTACTTTCTTCCCTCTAGTCACTATTGTTTTTTAGGTTCTTGGTTTATTCTCCTATTATTATTGTTATTATTGTGTTATTTTAATATAAGCCAGTATGTATTTATATCCCTCTCCAGCTTGTAAAACTCCGTACCTAAAATGGGGCATTTTAAGGTTAATTTTTGTTCGTTTCTTGATTGCTGATGTGGTGTATGAAGTAACAACAAAGACAGCTACTTCACAATTTCTTTCTTGTTGGCTCTTTCATAGGATTGAGTAGCAAACAATAATGAGATAAAAAATTGGTCAAAGAATTCATTTCCCACTTTTTCTATGTCATTCATTAATTGCTAACTTAGTGTTCCTAGTAAGATCATGCACTTACTGACACACTTTCTCCTTGAACATTGCAGGGTTTCGGATATTTATCTTCTTTATTTGTTTTATTTGGGATATTTATGCTCTGTATTTGTTTTATTTCCCAGAACATCAGATTTGTGAAAATATACATATTAATAAAATACATATGTATGAGAAGTAGAATGGTGAAAAAGTAAGTAGTTAAAAAATCCTTATTTGTGTTCGTAAATTAAAAACTTGCAGAAAAGTACAAAGAAAAATTTACTTTACATCCACTTTATCATAACCCAGAATGAACCATTGTTAACATCTTGATATACTGCTCACAATTTTTAAAGGGAAAAAAGTCACCTGGTTGTTTTTGTAAAATAAGACATATTCTTTATAAGAAATAAAGCAATGCAGAAAAGCTCAATAATATATATTTTTTAAAATTACTCTAAACTCAAAATTGCCACCGTAAGCATTAAAAGAACATCATTGTGAATATCTTTCCATGCGTACTGTATTATTAGAAGAATAGAGCAATAGGCAGAAAAATAAAAGTTATTAAAATAGGGTGAGACCCTCGGAAGTATTTTTAATGAAAGTTAGTTATTTGTATTTTATTTGACTTCAGTAGAAGTAAAAAGAAAAGTGAAAAATATTTCTTCAACACAAGATACTTCTTCTATAAGAGAACCTATTAATGTTAAAAAACAAATTTTAGGAATAAACATTAGAGGCTAGCATTTAACATTTAAAACAATAGATATTTAGACAATATCTATTTATTCTCCGTTTTGAAAGATGAGGGTATTAAACTTCCTCCCACTTCCCCTTTCCCCCACCTCCCAATTTTTGTAGTTATACAATTATTTGAACA